GATACCAAATTTCGTCGAAATCAGAATTTTTTTTCGCACCTCCAAGTAGGGGAAATTTTGAAAATTTATTTCAAAACGGTTAGGGTATACCCGAAAACCTATTCAAAGACGTGCCACTCATCTTTGTAACTCTTATGGTTCCTGAGAAAAAAATTACAGAAGAAATCCGAATTTCACCACTTCTTTGGGTGTGGCTCTCCAACGAAACAAGTTGGACCATCGGTTTATTTGGAAAAAGTGTTTGTCTTGATCCCCTATATCATCCAATTTTTTTTGCATGTGGTCATGTAACACCCTGTATAAGCAAATTGTAGCCTATTTTAATCAGTTTCAACATCGATGCGTTGTCATGATGTAAATTTTGAGTGCTTAGTTGTAATTACTGTTATAAATTAATCAATTTTAAGACTGTTATAAATTTGTTAGTTAATTCTTATAAATAAAACCACGTAATTAAATTTACGGAGATTCATGTTATAGACATACTCATCTTAGATACAGGGTATACATGCAAATGGTTCCACAAAAATTATAAATAGTGCCATCCGTGACAAGACTCAGGTTAAATGTTTAATTCTTGTACTGTTTATTCTCGGATCTTATTTCATTAATAAATCAGGAGTAATCCAGATTGAAACCTAAAGTGTTAACTCTTGCGGTTAGACTCCAAAATCTGCTTAATATTTACGAAACATCTGCTTTAGAAGCAAATTTAAATATTCAAATTCGGGGCTGTGCCCAATTCCGCACCGGGCTGCCAAAAGAGAATCGAGAGGTGTGTTTATTAACTTTGCCAAGCTGTTTATTAATTATATCAAAAACAGAAATATACTACCGAGATTAGGTATAATTTAGTTACACACTTCCAATTAATTTTGCCAAGGGAGATGATTAATAATAAAATAATATTACGAAAAGCATTAAAGGAAGATGCTGCGAAACGCTTAATTCGGCTTTTACTCGAAAAGGCTTGAACGGCGGTGTAGGCGCGTATATTGCCAACAGAACCTGTGAAATGTGCATGATAATGAATAAATAAGATTTATCTACCCTTGTGTATGTATGTACCTACTTTGTGTTTCGCTACTTCCATTGAAGTTGTACAAAAGGGTAGAAATGTGCTGCAGCATTCTGCCATTTGAATACGGATTTTATTGCATTTCCATGTACACTGCACTTTTTTTTATTTAGAATGCAATGCACATTGTAAGCTTCGGCAAGAGAAGAAAATAGAAATTCTTCGTAGCGTTGCGTGATGTAGGTGCATTCACTACGATTCGAATTACTTAAGAAAATGGCTTTTATTCCTGAGTCCAATGCAGTAGAAAGTAATAAAATGAATCGCACATCGATTTTAAAATTCCATGTTAAAATCATTGACCACAATTCACTACATAATATGACATCCCTCCAACGGAACTAACCGAGTTATCCTGCATCGTTGAGCACATCGTTTTCTTTTATTGGAATACCGCAAGGGACCATCGCTTCATTAAGTACGCAAACGTTATCCCAACGTCGATATTTACCTTATAATCGCTTTACATGCGTTAATTACGAAATTCTTTCAGTAAAAATTTGAGCCTCCCCGCGAAATGTAAGTAATTAATTACCAGACATCAATCGCGAAATTAATTAAACCGAACCATATTGTTTCGCTAAGTACCCATTTCGAAAAACTTTCGTGTAAATGAAGTGCTTCTAAGTGCGTCTTTGTACTTTATGTGCAGTGTAAAGTTTAAGTAATTTGCTCCCACTGCGAGCCCTATTTTATATTAAATTGCTATGTTAATAACCCCGTCAAATTTGAATAGGATTCAGTAGGGGTGAATTTACTTAGCTCGTATCTCCTCAAACGTAGGAAGTTGAGTGTCGGTGATATAGAAACACATTACCAAAGGTCTGGCGTTTCTTGCACGCCCACGAGGAATTTTTTTCGGCAAATATTGAGATAGCGAATTAGGTTTCCAGGGCCAGTTTTTGTTCTACTTCTTTCGCACTTTCGCTTTATTGGGCGTCGGGACGACGTCTTTACTAAGGTCTTCTGTAGTTTTATGCGTTCGTCGTGCCGTACTAAGGAATACGTAGGGAATTTATCGGTTCTAACGACCAATTCTCTTGCATGACTGGTGATTTATGCATTTCTCAAACTTTTCATAATCATTCCTTTTACAATTCGCAATAAATTTTAACTATCTTCTTGTTTTCGAAATGCAAGAGATGTTTATTGTTTAGTCCATTCTCTTATCTCCGACTTAATCATCAAATTTACGAAAATCGTAAAAGATGGCGTTGTGTTAATTCAGATTATAAAGTACACTCTTGTTACAATACCGCAGTGAATTGCATCGTTACATTCTCGGCGGCGGCGGCGGCGGGATCGTTTTTTTGGTATAGTAATTGTCTTGGTAGTGTGACAACGCGGATGGCACTATTTACAGACTAGATATTCAGTAAACAGGCAAGTTTTTGCGTTCTAGGTGGAAAAATTCATCGTAAGAAATGCCGTTGCCAAATTATTCACCTCTTTAGAAATTTATTTGCTGATTGCTACTACTATAAAGTAACGGCCAAAATTCAATATCTAAATTTTGTTTAAGTCATTTGGGAAACATTTTTCAATCTAAAACAACGAATGGCCCTTATCAATGCAGAGGCTATAATCTAGTCTTTATAATTCTAAGTGCCGCAACAGTCCCATGGTGAGGTAGAAAAATTGAATTGAAATTGTTTTATTTACGCGAATAAGGTGGTCTTCACCAGGTCTATCCAAAAGCGACAGAGGTTACGAAAAATGGGAATTAACGAAAGCGACAAATAACCCCTCTCCGACGCGATTCAAAGGGAGGTCGATATTTAAATGGTAGTGGACAAGGAAAAAGGCTTTCCATGAAAAAGCGGCGGCTGTTACAGAAAATGCAATCCGTGAAAAATGCGACAAGCTACCCTTCCCCAATTTACGAATCAGATGGCGGTTGATACTTAAGTGGTTGCCAATACGAAAAAGCGATCTATGCAAAAGCTGTTAATCGGTGGACGATGCGAATATGGCGATCTATGCTGCTGTGTGCAATGGTATGTGGTCACTACAACACCCACAAAACACCTGTTGAAACTTTTTTTTAAATTTTATTCTCGTACCCACCCGGCATCTGCTATAAGAAAAATCCTAATAGTGACTTAACATTTCTCAATTCTAGAGACTCGGTGGCCTCGATCAACTTTCGAAAATTCCAAAGAACTCATGGAACAACACCGGCATTAACTCTTCGGCACGAATAGAAAAAAATCTGGCATGAAGACTCTATCTGGGTCACACTTTGGACTCGAATAAACACAAAATTAATTGATTGACAATCAAATTTATTCCGAAATGCACTGAAAAAAATTAAGACAAAATACCTGCAGGCAATAGAAGCTTACAAAGCTTTTTAGGACATATTACCCCGCACTCAGGCGTGCAACAGTTTTAAAATAATACAGGGTATCTATAAAAGAACTCCAGGGTTTTAAGACAAAATATTTTAATACAGTAAAAAATGTACATACATGTTTTATACATGATTAGAAAGCTTACATTTTCAAGATTTTTTAACAACTTGGTAAAGTTCAATGTGAGCTCCGTTAGTTAGTTAGTCCAGACGACACTGACTGCCTGCCGCAGCCGTTACGTCATTTCACGGTCAACGCTCCGCAGCGCTGCCAACTGTTGAGAGAAACATTCCCAATTCGTATGAGTAAAACTCTTTGAGCTGCTTGTTTCAAAGGAATTGATCAAATTTTGCTATCTTTTATAGTTTAAAAAATATTAATTTTTTAAACCCCGGAGTTCTTTTATAGACTCCCTGTATTTAGTGACTTTACGGGAATCTAAGAAAGTGATGTTTCTATGAATTCCGCTATATTAACCTAACAAAAAAATGTCCGGTCTTTGAAGTTGACGATAATCTGAACAATTTTTGTTTGACAATTTTTCCTGTATCTCTAAAAATGAAGTGGTGGGGGGTATTCAAAGGTTTCCGTAAAGAACACCCTGTATCTTCGAAACGGCTGGACCGATTTAAACAAACTCGGGTTAGTTCAAAAGAGCTATTCTTCAGCTACAAATATTATACTATTTGAAGTTTTGTTAGTTTCACATATCACCGCTTGAGCGCTTTGTTCGACATTCCGACAGAAATGGTTAATTTTCTTAAAAAAATTAAATGCATTGGTTCGAATTTTTTTTCATGAAAAAGTAGCTAAATGATGCCTAAATAAACTCGCGAAAACAGCATCTCGATATCTTGAGATATATATATTTTTTATATCGTGATGGCCAGCATTTCGAGCATTTACGGCGGCATTAAAAGCTTCCTTTTTTAAATCGATCCACCTTAGGGCCACAAATTATATAATAAAAATAATTCCGGAAAATTAGCTTAAAAAAATAAAATTTTGAGGGTATAAAATTTTCTTTGGCCTAAATTTTAGGTTAGGAACAAGATATCGAGATGCGGTTTTCGCGAGCTTGTTTAGGCATCATTTAGCTACTTTTTCATGAAAAAAAAAATCAAACCAACGCATTTAATTTTTTTGAGAAAATTAACCATTTCTGTCGGAATGTCGAAAAAAGCCCTCAAGCGGCGATATGTGAAACTAACAAAACTTCAAATATTATAATATTTGTAGCTGAAGAATAATTCTTTTCAATTAACCCGAGTTTGATCAAATCGGCTCAGTCGTTTCGAAGATACAGGGAGTTCTTTACGGAAACCTTTGAATACCCCCCACCACTTCATTTTTAGAGATACAGGAAAAATTGTCAAACAAAAAAGGTTCAGATTATCGTCAACATCAAAGACCGGACATTTTTTTGTTAGGTTAATATGGCGGAATTCACAGAAAAATCACTTTTTTAGATTCCAGATTGCAGTTACGCCCCCTAGCGGCCATTGCAGAAACTTACAAATATTTTTCAGGTTTTTCTCGTGGCCGTTTTAGTAATAAATTTTTTTACCGCAAGACTCTACGATGAACAGGTTCCCAGTACCTCGCATTCTTATTTGGCCACCCTGTACAACCAGTGGAGTTTTAAGGGGCGATAAAAGTAAAACCAGTACCTTAAGACGTGTCCCAGTTCATGCGCAATTATATACGAGGTCGACAGTCCCTTATCTCTGACAATGGCACAGCTCGAATTCGAATTGCACATCGATCCAACTTCGGCGACGCCCAACGTGTTACAAACTTGGGCGGTTAGATTTTTACAAATCGATTCGCTAAAATTAAGCTTTAATGTTCCTCTGGACACTTGCCAGGAAAGCTTACCGAGTAAGTAGAAGCGCCGTATCGTATTGCTTCTGGGTACGTTCGGCGTGCTGCGCCTGCCAGTTGCAGAACTTCTTCAGCATCTCTAAAAAGGACGTGTCAATCACTCGACACCGATTACCTTTTTTAATTACCCACCGTCGGAAGTGTTACTCAGAAACTCGGTCTCCTTCAGCGTGACGATTTCGACGACGGCAAGAGAAATTGGGTTACCGATAGTGGCATGCTTGAAGAGAAGAGCTACCTAGAAATTCCACGTTTAGACGCGCGGGACGATTGGAGAAGGTGAACGTTACATGAGACATCAACGTGAGAATGTAGTGATTGAGGTCCTCGTCGGTGTTGTGGTATTGCGCCATCGTCTTGTCGGCGACGATCAGTGTTTCTATGTGAAACTCCTGATGGTTGCCCGATCTCGCCTTTGGAGCGATCGGCACGAACTCGATGTTGTCATCTTCGAAGAGGACATCTCTGCGTGGCCTGGATTGCGTCACGTCGCGCTTGTGGACGAAGTGCTTGTACTCCTCCTTGCCGATGAGAAAATCGTCGTCGATGATCGTCGTGTTTTCTGAAAATAGACAAAATCGTCTCAGGTGATACGCCCGGGGCCAATCTCCTTGATTTAGTTATGTATTTATGCATAGTGTAAAAGCGGAGCCGTGCTGTCTGCATAATGCGTTTACCTTTTACTTCGCATAACTCGGTCGACGTCGTTGCGTCCAGGTCGTCCGCCTCTGTCTTGTGCGCCACTTTTTTTATGCGATGCATTATGCTCGCGATCGAGTCGTTGCGAAATTTCTCAACGGGTTCGATGTAGTAATTCCCTTCCGAGGTCCGAATGTATCCGGTCTGCGAAATTTCAAAAACTTAATTAGACGAGGCGTGCTCGAGACCATTTTTCACAAACGCCCCAGCTGTCAGTAGTAAGAGAGGCGTTTGCCAAAAAATATTTTAAAAAAGGTGACAACCACCAATTATAGTTAATGGTCTTTTTTGACAAGATATATCAGGTGCCTGTGTGGCAGACGATTGCCCATAATTGATTAGTAACCCCAAGTTTTAAATCCATTATGACGTCGGCCGCCGCGAGGCAAGGACGCAACCACCCCCTACCGAAGGGAGGCGAGGTGGCCGAGGTACGTTTCTAAAGAATGCCCACAGCGAGACACGAAACCTATACCCAGGTTTTGTCTTGCACCCAGTAAAATGCATAGGTACCTAGGCTTCTCGCACGGTTGCCTATCCTAAGACTGTTGCCAACTGAAACTGGCCATGTGAAAAACATGGATTTTCCAAATTACGATTTATTTATCGACTTTGGGAATGCAAACCGCACTGGAAATTGTTTAACCGTTTAAATTTGAATGCATGAGGATGAAAGGAATCAAAACGTCTTCGCGTATTTCCCAAAAATTGTGGTTTTGATGACGCTCATTAATGTCATCGCTCATCACCACAAGGCGGGTGCCATTACAAAGGGTTTATGTTCCGCAACATAATGATTAGCGGAAGAACTTTTAATTGCAGTGTATGTGGTGGTAATCCGGGCAATTCAGGGAATTTTTTATGGATATCTATCCATACCGACCTGTTAAACATTTGTCAAAGGCGCAAATTGTAAAAAGAGCGTTTAAATAATCGTTAAGTTTTCTGAAGTTTTCCAATTTTCAGCGCAATTTTCCTACTTTTTCTTTCCGTACGAATCTTCTGCACAGTATTAGAAAACACAAAAAAAGACGATTGAAATCGGTAAAGTTATAGCGTGACCACAAGGGAAATAGGGCTTCATTTTTATATATACAGGGTGTCCCCCGTCATCTACCTACTGTAAAAAACAAAAAAAAGAGGGGCCAAACACGGGCGCGATTATTAAGGGAGTCGTTTACAATTAACCGACGGGATTAAGGTTTTTTTTGCCAATGTCCCCCAGTAAGAAGAAGACTTAGCACGTGACAATAAAACTGTCGTCGACTGGAGAGGATCAGTGGCGTATTTACGGGGGATGAAGGGATATATTATCCCCCCCCCCCTCCCCCCCGAAGAATTGAGTTATGCATCATAGCTATTAGATATTTAGGTAATACTCCCGCTATCCGCTACGCCGCACCCAAATTAATAAGAAAAAGTGTTTTCCCGAGAAATTTTGGTGTAGTCGATTTTTGGTAAAAAAGGAAGGTTATACACTGCCTTTTTTTGAGGCCCGCAAAAAAAATTGTCTCAGATCGACCCGGAAAAAATTTTTCTTATAGAATGTGGCCTGTAGAATCCATAATTTCAAACAGTTCCAAGATTGGGCTACTAGTTCAAAAGTTACAGCCCTTTGAATTTTTTGTCGAAATTAGTTTTTTGCCCATAAATATACCTAGTATTCAAAGTTTTCGTTGACTAATTAAAGCAAAAGCAATAAAGGGGCCTGTCAGCAGTAAGAAATGAAATACCGTTCTAATCTAATCTTTTTTCGCCTGTACAATAATAAATAGATAAATGACTACCAGCATCAGCAACCTGCAACCCAATTTCTATATCTTACCCCCCCCCTCCCCCCAGAATAAATTTTTCTACGTACGCCACTGGAGAGGATTCCATAACACTCAGACCCCCCGGTAAGAGTGTCATGATAGTTTTTGAGAAAGAGTTACCAGGTTCACCTTCGCTTAAGAAGAAAGTAGCACCGGGGGGCCTGGGGGGTATGGAATACCCTCCAGCACGAAGAAGACTTAACACGTGGCGAAGATTTACAACCGCCGAACTAAGGGAGACTCCACAATCCTTTCCCTATGAGCCTTAGTAACCTCATGGTAGTTTTTTAGAGATGACAATAAAACTGTCGTCGACCCCCCGGAAAGAGTATCTTGATAGTTTTTGAGAAAGAGTTACCAGGTTCACCTTCGCTTAAGAAGTACTGGAAAGAGAGTGGCACCGAGGGGTCTGGGGGGTATGGAATACCCCCCAGCACAAAGAAGACTTAACACGTGGCGAGGATCTACAGCTGCCGAACTAAGGGAGACTCCACAACCCTTTCCCTGTGAGCCTTAGTAACCTCGTGGTAGTTTTTTGGAGATGGCAATCAAACTGTCGTCGACTGGGGGGTTTTGCATGACATCAAATTATTCATGACTCATTGATTCCATTCGATTGAACTTACAGGTAATTAATGTCATTCCTGCTTTATAGCTTGATTTGAGCTGGCTCGTTTTGAATTTTTTATTAATCGTTTGAACTCTGAATCACGCTGAGTTACCTAGTGATCGATTGATTCGTCCCTGATTATTAAAAGTCGGAAACGAGACCGTTTTGGCGAAGTGTACGTTAACCTTAAGCTCGAAATAATCGCATTCAGGTTCAATGCTGCCGTTTCCTTTGCGCGCAAAGGCATCCGGTTTCGCGAATTAGAAAGTCTAATGGATCGCTGCCAAAAACGGCGCAAAGATGGCGGCATAAAGATTTGCACTCTGTGTAATGCACGTGCTTTGAGTATATACGATTTGACATCATCTCGCCAAAAATAATTTATAAAGCGCCGTTAATTTCAAGGTTGAGCGATTTTGTATGCGTTAATGCGGAATTGTGAGCACGTAGTAGACATTTTTTTTTAAAACATACGCAAGGGTGGCACGTGCCGCAAATTGTGCGTGTCTGTTTATACAAAAAGCGCGCGCGCGCGGGAGGAGGATTTTTTAAATGCATTCGCCAGAAGAAGTGTGTCAGTTCGATGCCTAAATGTTTTATTATATTGACGGTTGAACGGTTTAAAGCAGAAGCCTTCAAGTACAAATATTTAGATAGGCCACTGATCGAAAGCAAGTGTACGGAAGCTAAAATTACGGCGATTTCCAAATCTCAATTTACATAATTTGAAGTAGTAGAACACGAGACGCAAACGAGGGGCCAAAGATGGGCGCGATTATTAAGGGAGTCGTTTACAGTTAACCGCGGGGTTAAGGTTAACGCACTTCGTTTTTTTGCCAACACTAGTAAATATTTATTTACGTCTGCGGTTGCGGTACAGAAAAAAAAACTGGGAAGATTCCCAGGCGTGACAATGAATTTATGTCCATTTACGTTTGTATTATGCACGTTTTAATTATTTGCAAAAAACGTCCTTCTACTTTTTTTCCCGTGAGAAACGCCGCGACGCGTATTTAAAAAAAAACGCTATTTTTAGTTTTTTATTTCGGACGTAAAAACTAAATCGATTTTTAATAGTTGGACCATCTGCAATTTTATCATCAAAGAAAAAAAGGCACGCTTCCGTCCTAAGTGATTTTTCATTTTTCACCTTTCAATTGGGCGAATAAGTTTTTTGCGAGCCGCCCACACCGCTGACCTTTTTGAGTTCAATGAAATGTAATTACCCAAAGACAATTGTGTAGGAGGAACCAGCGTCTGGCAAAATTTCAATTTCACTCACCATTCCGTTGCACAGGGAGACGGCAACGTCGGAATTTTTCTCGCCTTTAACCTTCCCCGTGTAGAAGCAGCCGCTCGCTTTGGGATCGTGCATCGCCCGCCTCGTGTAGTTCTCCCAAACGTGCGTCACCTTAAAACTCAAAATTACTTTGGAAAAAGCGAGGCGTCGCCGAAAGGCTCACCTGGAGGTTCGGCGAGACGAACTTGTAGTTGAACGACAGCTCCAAGACGAGCACCTGCCCGAACGCTTGGATCTCGTACTGGGGATGGGGGTCCCACACTTCGGCGGCCGTGTGCCGAAAATGTCCGCTGTGGTGCCTCAAAATCGGATGATCTACGCACAGTGCAAAAGAAACGGGGCGAAATTATCGACGCGCTTACCCTCGTTGTCGTGCAGCTGATCGAAGATGAGATCGTGATCGTGAAGCGGCGGATCGATCTTGATCGGCCTCACCAGCTCCATGCTGTGCCTCCCCAGATCGTCCAGGTGCGAGTTCTTCAGAATTTCCACTCCTGAAAGGAAGACGTCATGTTTCAATGTTGCAAATTTGGGCCAAGATTATGGGTCGACATTAAATTAATTGGCCGAACGCGATTTACATTGAACGCCTCTTCCAGCAGCTGTCGCCGTCCGTTTTAATGGCACTTAGGAACACTTGTACGAGAATGTCACTTTGATTGTATTTTTGCTACACAAAAAAATCGACAAATGTCGCGGATAATTGGCCACATTCAAACAGACGGTGGAACACAACAAAAACATTTGCGACTCGTTCGTTATGCACCCGTTTTGCGCTCTCCCTCGTATCAAAATATTACGAAATAGTGTCCCATTTCGCGCCCACAAAATTACCGTTTTCATTAAAAAGTCAACCCAATGCGGGGAGAGAGCCTATCCAAAAAAGTGCTTTCGATTTTGATGATGATGGTTCTAGCCTTCTGGGGACACACATGTATTTTTTAAACCTTTTACCTGAAAAGTCATAGATAGCCTTGGAAAGCCTTTAAATGTACAGGGTGGCCAAATAAGAATGCGAGGTACTGTATCTGGGAACATGTCCATCGTAGAGGCTTGCGGTAAAAAAATTTATTACTAAAACGGCCACGAGAAAAACCTGAAAAATATTTTTAAGTTTCTGCAATGGCCGCTAGGGGGCGTAACTGCAATCTGGAATCTAAAAAAGTGATTTTTCTGTGAATTCCGCTATATTAACCTAACAAAAAAATGTCCGGTCTTTGAAGTTGACGATAATCTGAACCTTTTTTGTTTGACAATTTTTCCTGTATTTCTAAAAATGAAGTGGTGGAGGGTATTCAAAGGTTTCCGTAAAGAACACCCTGTATCTTCGTAACGGCTGAGCCGATTTAAACAAACTCGGGTTAGTTCAAAAGAGCTATTCTTCAGCTACAAATATTATACTATTTGAAGTTTTGTTAGTTTCACATATCGCCGCTTGAGGGCTTTTTTCGACATTCTGACAGAAATGGTTAATTTTCTCAAAAAAATTAAATGCATTGGTACGATTTTTTTCATGAAAAAGTAGCTAAATGATGCCTAAACAAGTTATATATTTTATACCGTGATGGCCAGCATTTCGAGCATTTACGGCGGCATTAAAAGCTTCCTTTTTTAAATCGATCCACCTTAGGGCCACAAATTATATAATAAAAATAATTCCAGAAAAATTAGCTTAAAAAAAAATAAAATTTTGAGGGTATACAATTTTCTTTGGCCTAAATTTTAGGTTAGGAACAAGATATCGAGATGGGATTTTCACGAGCTTGTTTAGGCACCATTTAGCTACTTTTTCATGAAAAAAAAATCAAACCAACGCATTTAATTTTTTTGAGAAAATTAACCATTTCTGTCGGAATGTCGAAAAAAGCCCTCAAGCGGTGATATGTGAAACTAACAAAACTTCAAATAGTATAATATTTGTAGCTGAAGAATAGCTCTCTTGAACTAACCCGAGTTTGTTTAAATCGGCTCAGCCGTTTCGAAGATACAGGGTGTTCTTTACAGAAACCTTTGAATATCCCCCACTACTTCATTTTTAGAGATACAGGAAAAAGTGTTAAACAAAAATTGTTCAGATTATCGTCAACTTCAAAGACCGGATTAGGTTAATATAGCGGAATTCACAAATACATCACTTTTTTAGATTCCAGATTGCAGTTACGCTCCCTAGCGGCCATTTCAGAAACTTAAAAATATTTTCCAGGTTTTGCTCGTGGCCGTTTTAGTAATAAATTTTTTTACCGCAAGCCTCTACGAGGGATAGATTCTCAGATACAGTACCTCGCATTCTTAATTGGCCACCCTGTACAAGGTGCCCTATTTTCGAAACTTTTATAGGGAGTCCCATTAATTGTTTAATTTTATTTAATTATAAAAAAAGTTATAATAGGCGTCACGCGCTCATTTTTGGGTCAAACCGAGGGTCAAACTATTCAATCGCATAAGAGATACGGGGGGAAATCGAAAAAGTGACAATTTCAGAATGACCTACAATTTTCTTTCCAAGAGAGACAGACAAATATTTCATACAAAAGTTTCTTTATAATGTTAGTTGAATAATCTACCGTTTTCTAAAGAAGTATACGGGTTCAGGAAAAAAAGTTATCGGACATAACCTAATTTTTTTTAATGGAACACTCAGTATATTTTACTCAAGATATTAAACTATCTTTTCAAAGACATCATGGATGATATTAAAATAATTTACTCAAGTGATTTTTTGAATTTTGTTAGAGGTTCAAAAAGATCAATATTAAAAATTATTTTTGAAATTTTTTTAAATAATTTTTTGAATCACCCGAGTCATTTTGTAATATCATCCATGGTGTTTTATATCTTTGAAAAGAGAATTTAATACGTTATCTTTTTAGATTAAAATATACAAGGTGTTCCATTTAAAAAAATGAGGTTAGGTCCGATAACTTTTTTAGCTGACCCCGTATGCTTATTTCAAAAACGGCAGATTATTCCACAATCGTTACAAAGAAACTGTATCTCCTATAACTAAAACAGCCACTCTGTAAATCCCCCCCCCCCCCTCTCCTGGATGTCTTAAGCAAATTTTTAATTTATCATTTTAAGTTTGACCTAAAACAGCACTAACAACTGCCGAGATTTTGAGAGCTCTTTCTAAAGCGTTCTAGGTCCTTTTCACGAACTGAGAATAGAAAAGAGATAGAAAGCATGGTATAGAAAGCTCTTAAAAGAACAAAGCTCAGACTTAGAACGTTTAAGCGAGCATAAGAAGCCCTAAGGAGGCGGTGGCTTCCGAAGATTTTTAAGTCAATTTGAAAGCTAGGCGAATATAGAAGGGTATGTAGAAGGTTTTTAAGATTCTAGATGACCCCAGACGCAACGGCTCTTCATTCTCCCCCAAAACGTATAATAATCTGGGTCTGGGAGGGGAATGGAATACCCCCCAGTAAAAGAAAGACTGAAAACGTGGAGAGGGTTTAAAACCGCCCACAAAGAGACTCCACATTCTAGTCCATAACTTTTGATTGAGACGTCCGATCGAAAAAGTACGAATTGTTTTGGATTCTACGCACCAAAATTAATAAGAAAAAGTTTTTTTCCCGAGAAATTTTGGTGCAGTCGATTTTTGGTAAAAAAAGGAAGGTTATACACTGCCTTTTTTTGAGCCCCGAAAAAAAAATCGTATCAGATCGACCCGGAAAAAAAATTTTCTTATAGAATATGGCCTGTAGAATCCATAATTTCAAACAGTTCCAAGATTGGGCTTCTAGTTCAAAAGTTACAGCCCTTTGAATTTTTTTTCGAAATTGGTTTCTAGTCTATAACTTTTGATTGAGAAGTCTGATCGAAAAAGTACGAATTGATTTGGATTCTACGCACCAAAATTAATAAGAAAAAGTGTTTTCCCGAGAAATTTTGGTGTAGTCGATTTTNTGCATAGGTTACGGGCCATTAAAGTATTAGTGTAGTAATGAAGGTGGGGGGGGGGTAGCTCTGCGGTGCACCACAAAAACATTTTTTGCTTCATTTTAGTACTCCTTTTTCGGAAATCAATTACAATACAGGTTTTTTTAAATTGCAGCTGATAATTAAAAGTAACAAAATATACAATCCAAACGAGGCGCGTCGCCTATCATTGTATTTCAGCACTTTCATGCTACGACAAAAAATGATAAATTCATTGTAAAACACTTCAATTAAAACAGAATTTTTTAACAACCTAACATCAACCCCAATTAGAGAAACGTGTTAATAACTTATTAATAGTGCAAGAAACTAAATACAGCACGTACTTATAAATTTCCAACGGGCCATTATGACGTACAGGCCAGGTGGCAATCGCCACCCGCCCTCCCCCGGGCCAGTCCGCCCCTGAGTCTCCACAGCCCTTTCCCTGTAGGCCTAAGTACTCTCCTGGTAGTTTTTTTTTGAAGATGACAATAAAACTATCGTCTCTACTGAGGGGCATTCCAAACCCGCACAGACCCCCCCCCCCCCCAGTTCTATACTCTTCCCCAAGACGTTTAAAGTCCTTAGCATTTACACCATAATTGATGTGTCTACACTTATTAAGGCGACTACACACGATCCGGCAGGCCTGTCAGTTCGTACTGAACAGTCCGCCTGAAAACCCGGCGCCTGGCGGTATTGCGATTAGAAAACCTCTTCGGTGATTTCCAGGGACTCCTTTCATTCTTTCTAGAGCTATCGTAGTGCTGTTCAGAGCTTTGTAGCTCTAGGCAAGCTTAAGACGGTCCGAAAAAGGTCTTGAGTGATCTGGAAATAATTTTAAAATCTCGAGAAAGAGCCTAGAATGATCTCGAAAATCGCTACAAAGCTCTGGAAGGCGTTCCGAGCGTCTTCTACCCCCTTGCAAAGTATCAAGGAGGCCCTTATAGTTTTCGATTGCCTTCTAAGCCTCTTCCCCAAAAAATCTACAATTCGAAAAACGTGCCCTGATGAAAATTTTGAAAAGGATTCCTACCAATATCTTTCAGAAGAAAATTTCTAAGAGGGTTTTCCATCATTGATAAGATCGTGATCCAGATACCATGGTACGAAAAAAAAATGCTACAAAATTCAAAAAAATTTCCCTGGTTAAAGGCTTTCCAAAACTGTTTGATTTCGATATTACGAGGAAGCTGTTACCAAGTTGACAAAGAATTGATTCCCCGCAAGTCTCAAACAGAAGGTCGATCTTACACAATCTCCTCTCGTAATTTATTTCTAATGCAATAATTAAAAGTAACGATCGAGGTGGAGCATCCGGCGCGTTAATTGCTTCGAGGACTCAAAAATTCGAACCGATCAAAGGCGAGCCGATCATAAATTATTATTAATCAAATCTGTTTGCGCGACAAGAAAAATTCCAAGAAACCGAAAGCGCTGATTTTCGCTTTAGAAAAAAACCGTCTTATCGGCAAGGTCGTTGTGTTACAGGCGACCTCCTGTGACACTTTCCGTTTTTTTTGCGTCAGCTCCAAGGCGACGACTTTTCGACGAGTGATGTGCCTAACGA